ATAGACTGGCGACCTGTCCAGGTGCCCCTGTCTTCACCCTAAGTCAGCTGGGATAGACTCCAGCCCCCCCGCAATCCTAGTGAGGATTAAGCGGTGTATGGATGGATGGATGTTATTTTTATTGCAGTCATTTCTCCGGTGTGAAAATCAGTGACAATCCAGACATACTTTGCTTGAAAATTATCACAGAGTTAAAGGCTGCATTTATCAGAGACAAATTACAGGCAAAAAAAAAAAAAAAAACAGCCTTAGATGGATTTTACCTCTAGGCAAAGCTGTTTGTCTTTACCAAAGATTAGACTGAGCTTCAAGAGACAGACAGTGTTTAATTTGTGACTCATCTGGGCATTTCACACATAAAAGAATGATTATTCTTCACGGAAAAAGCAATCACCGTGATATGAGGCCTTTCAAACAGTTTAAAGTAGCCCTCTGCTGTGTAGCTGGCATTCAGACAGTCATAGCCGTGGTCCTGCGATGGATATAAATATGTAATTCAGGGGGACTGAGGTATTTTAAACAGGGCCGGATTGTAAATTGATCTGCTGCAATGTGGATTCGATTTTAATCAAAAGACTCTTAAAATGAGATACATAAATGCTGAAAGAATGAATACAGATTACACTTACACTTGTTTCACGCAGGCAGGTGTTTGACTGATGGCAACACGAGTTGAGGAATTCAAATAAATCCCTCCTGACCTCATCAAACAGTTTGGAGGTTCTCTGTCTGGTTTGTGTCAGAGCGAAGGAATGTACAGCAGCGAGCTTTGTTTAACGCTGTTATATCATGCAGGTGTGTTGAACATGACAGCGGCTCTGCTGACTGGAGCTCCGTGTTTAAAGGCAGGAGGTGGATGAACGGTTCGACTTGCAGCTGCACTACAGAAATCGACTGACAGAAACTCAACAGTTTGCAGTTCAGAGGACACAGAACACAGCCTGCATTATGACAAAGAAAGCGTAGAACAGTCCGAGTCATTGTGAAGGACAGTTTCTGAACTCACAGTTGTTAACAGAGTTGAAGTTAGGTAAAATTTATTTATGCGAGGATGAAAAAAAGGGTTTCAAATTAGGTCTCTAATTTGTTATGTTTCACTCACTGCAGAATGCCATCTCTCTCCATCTCTATCCTTTTCTTCCACTTTTCATTTCTGATTCTACCATCTCATATATCAACATCATTTTTAAAATTCCTTCCTCACTGTTTTTCTTCACATCCTTCCACGTGTCTGATTTATCAGTGCATGTCTACATTTTTTGTTGTTGTTGTCATCTCATTGGTTCAAGTTGAATTCTTTAAAACTGATATTCTGTCTTCATCCTCGTCAGTATTTTGGCTTGTGGCCCATCAAAACACAGCGCTGACTTCTTGCAATCCATTGTCAGAACAAGCTTTTAAGGATATTCAATCCTCTGAACCTCCAACCCCAGTGGCATGTTTGAAAAGCAAGTTATCTTTAAAAACTAACAAACAAAACAAACCTGTTAAGGCATTAGTGACTTAGCTGGGACCAACGCTCATATGATAAAAATTCTGAGAGTTTTCAGCTGAACTGCAGGCAGTGTTTACATGGAGCAGAAAGGACATAAGTGCAGAAACAAATTAAAGATGTTGTAGGTAAATCTTTATAGTATGTAGAGCCACATTTTTTCCAGTATTAGTAACTTGTGAGTACTTGGGAAAATGTTGTACATGTTGATCTAGTGTTTTTTTTGTTTTGTTTTGGGTTTTTTTCCCTTTTTGTAAAACAAATAATCAAAGAAATGTTTAAATGCATGTTACCTTTCAAAACAAATTGACAAAATTTCATGATTTATCAGAGCAAGAAAGTGTAAAGTAGGAAATATTGCACTGAATTTTTACTTCCTGAAAGTTATTGAACAAAAAACACAATGAAATATTAGCAAAAAGATGGAATAATTGATCAAAATCCCTTTATTCTACATGTGTTATGAACAGTCACCAGATTGTGCATAATCTCAGCTCAACCATGACGCCATTAGTGACTCAGCTGCAACCAACAGTCAGACGAAAAAAAAATCTGTGACTTTTTGGCTGAACTGCAGGTTGTGTTTACACAGAGCGGAGATGGTGACAAGTATGGAAACAAATCATAAATGTAAGCAGTTAATTATTTATATGTATATAGAGTCACCTATTTTCCAGGATCGGTAGCACCTGTGGACACTTGGAATAGTGTTGTACATGTCAGCTCCAGGTTTTGTAAATTTTAGTAAAACCAAAAATCAAAGAAATTCAACCTGAATCAGAGATACAAGATTTTACAGTCGAAAATAAATAATAATTCAAGAAAATAACAGTCAGCTAAAGTTAAAGTCTTAAAGTTACAACAACAAAAAAAAATCTGAGAAAATTCCTAATTCTAATTGTTAGAGCAGTAATATCATTCTTTGCTTTCATCCCTCCATATTATTTCACACCCCAGGAGAGATCCCGACCTCCAGGTTAACAACCAAACCCCGAGCCATCTGTACCTCTTTATCTACTGTCAATCAAAGCTCAGCTCAAACATCTCCAGGATGTCGGGGTCACAGTGTAAACGCATCATCGTACTGTCTCACTCTCCCTCTACTCTCCGTCTTTTCCTCCAAAATCCCCAAATCACTCAACAACAAGAGTGGTTTAGGACTAGAGCTGCATCGGCGGCTTTCCACAAGACTGTCTCTGGATTCCTTCAACAAGTCCGTACGAGGATGTGTGTGGTAATGCGTGTGTGATTTTTTTGTTTTGCATATGAAAAAGAAGGAAAAAAACATAGTGACATACAGCAAAACTGCATGTGTGTACACGCACAAAGAACAAGACAGACAGAGAACAAATAGGCAGATATGTGACTATTTATGTCCCTGTGTGTGTGTTTGTGTGTGAATGTGACTAATTTGGCAGAGTAATTATGGCTTACTTTAAAATCCACCGCCTGCAGGTAACTACACAAGTACGTAAGCTGCACACACACATACACAGTCTACATCTGCAACACACATTCACACGTACTATTAAATTAATCACATACTGCCCACTTCCACTTCTGAGACCTACACTTATCTGGAAATTCTCTCACACGCAGCCAACAGTATATCTTTTAAAACAAGCCCCATCTTGTCTTTCTTGCCTCAACAATACAAAGAAATAGAGGACAGGAAGTGTATTTGTAAGCAGGTTGTAATCACAGAATAAGTCTTCCCCTCCAACTTCCTTGTCTGAGCATCTCAGCAGTTTCTCTCCCATTAAAGTGCATGAATTCACTGAGAAAAACAACAATTTTCTACCTCTTCCCATCATCCTTCTCCCTGTCGCTTATTAAATTCCTGCCTGCATTTGCACCTTTTCTGCACCTTCGTTTTTTTTGTTTTTTTTTTAACCCTCTAAACCCCAAAACCCACTGGGGGAGGTTTGAAAAGCTGTACTAAAATAGACAAATTTACTAAATTGATCAAAGCCAGAAACCAAAAAACCTTTTTGGGAAACTTTACCAAATGTGACTCTTAGCTTTATCTACAAATTTCATTTATAAATTGGCCAAAAATAAGCAGTTTACACAAGATTCCGTAAAAAACTACGAATTCTGCACTCCATTGCACAAACATAAAGACGTTACTGGTTCAGCTGACTTCATTTATGGTACACGTGTGCAGTAATTCATAATGCGGTATCCTGATACATCATGTTGTTGGACAAGAATGCTATTACCTGGACTGAATTCAAGATTCCCCTGAATCAGACGTCACATCAGTTGTTGTTAAAACAGCATGTCTCCCTGACTGTTAGTGCAGCAGCGTATGCAAGCTAACTAGCTGTGCTTGTAACACATTTCACACAGCTTCGTTGCTCTACAGATGTTCGTATTGACTTTGAGACTAAACTTGCAGATTTTTTTCAACATGTGGATGAATAATTTCAACACTTTCGTAAGTTTGAAAAGGTGCACAAAATTAGCTGGAAAACAAAACAAAACAATGGCTGTTGTCCTTTCAAAGAGCCAAAATCCCCTGACAGAGATTTAAAGTAATGTCAGGTCTCAAGTTACACTTTGTCTTTGCTTTTTTGCTTGAGATTTGACACTGCTGGCATTAAAGTGACCTCATACATTACACACACACCCATCCACAAAGTGACTTGAAACTGGGTCTTGATCAAATCTCTGGTAATCAAAGGTATTTTATTTACTTTCAAAAAGCTGGAGATTAGTGTTTCTTTATTCAATGCATTCTCAGTTTTCACCTCATTAAAATGTCAGGTTTTACCCTCTTCTACTTTTTCCAGAAGGCGCACATGTTGTAACAAATCTTGCACCGTATTTGCATTACAGGTATGCAGGTATATGTCATCCTGAAAAGACAGAACAGAGTAAAACCGCAGCCACGAATAATTGAAACCCTTGTGCTTCAGATCAGACTCATAGCCCGGGGATATGAATTTTGTAATGGGCTTTTTGCGGGGGGGGGGGGGGGGTAATATTTCGAGATCAAAATTGTTATCCCGATTCCAGCACAGCAAACGAATAGCTGGCTATTGAGGTCCAGCCCTAGTATGAAAATCCACATTTTAAATACTCTGGGTGCTTTGCCATCTTGCGTCCCAACATCAACACCAACTTAAAATGAACAAACAAAGTATGGGTATCAGGCCTGTCAAAATAAAAGTTTTTTCAAAATAAAAAATAAGCCCAACCTGAGACGCACATTGTATATTATTTAATTTTGACCAGCTGTCTGCGACCCATCAGTTGAGAACTCCTGCTCTAAGTCACTATAATGAGATTATTTTTATCTATTTATTTTTATTTTTTGAGCTGCGTGTTTACCAAGATGTCCTCTCGTCTTACTTCAGATGAGGATGCAAACACACTCACACGTTAACAAATCCAGTCCAGTTTATTGTGTATACAAGTCTGTGGGTCATGAAAGTACAGTATGATCCCCTGATTCTGTGTGTGTGTGTCTAGTTTGTAGTAGTAGTTCAAGTTTGTGTCTTACTTGTAGGGGTCGTTGGGGTCCTTGGCGTTGCAGGCCTCAGCGTGTCCGTTACACACACAGCGTCCTCCAATGCTGATGTCTTTGATGCTGTAGTAGTACTGCAGCAAATCAACAACACACAGCATGATTTAGTATCATCAATGTGTTTGATTGTTTGAAGTTAATGGAACATCAGACATGCTTTCTTGCCTATAATCAAACAAGTAGATCAACACCACTCTCACGCCTGCACGGTCAATATGAAGCATGAAGACAGTTGTGGAAAGTACATTTACTCATTTACTGGCCTTAAGTTCAGCTACTTGTACTTGAGATGATGATAGATGTTGAAAGAAAGAGCTCAGAATTGTATAGAGTCCTGGAGGTTGTATCGAGGCTGGGCTATGAGCTAAGGATAGCGGGTAACTTGTTATCCTCCCAACCCTGACAGTATAAAACCTTTTGCATCCTTTCCGACCCTTACTCATTCCACTCAGCTCATTTGCTTTGCTGCATTTGTGAGTCTCTCTGAATTAAAACTTACAGACTTTTTGACCTGATTTAACAGCAGTCACCTCCCAGGGTTCAGAAGATTAAGTATGTAGCTACAAACGCACATTAATATTAAATACTAAATAGATTCAAATAAAAATTTTGTGGTCCTGCAGTCAGTGATTGCAAAGGAATACAATATCGACAAATCAAGGCCAAGTCATTGACTGTGAGGTTTTTATTTTGCTGTGTTGCCTCACCCTGCGGGTGACGGTGGGATCACGGAGAGCTTTGCCCATCAGGTGTCCCAGCAGCGTGTTTGTTCTCAGGAAGCGGAGCCTAATGTTGGTGGCTTTAGTGAACTCCCTCAGCACCGGAGAGTAGGAGAAGTTCATCGCTCCGGGGCGACCGTTCACCAAAGACACCACAATCTGGGAAAAATAGGTGGAAGCACAAAGACACCAACAGTCAACGGTGTCAAAGTCTGAACATCACAACATGATAAAGGGCAGTAAGCATCAGAGGCATGACATCAAACATTGCAAATCACAAAATATTTACAATGTGATATCAAGGTAACTTTCTAAGTATTATTTATTAACTGTATCTGTCTGTTACAAATCTGCAAAGCATAATTTAAAGAGCCCATAATATGGTTTTGGGGTTTTTTAGTTCATTCAGTGTGTCATATAGCTGCATGTAAAAAGTTTTCAAACTTACACAGCTTTTCTTCCACGACTTAACTACACCACCATGTAAGACACTCGCAAATTGTCTCCCTACCAGCTGGTTTGACCCTCAAACAACGGTATTATTTACTCACTAGAGCGGCTTCAGCTGGAGCTAGAAAAACAAGAGTAATTTACACGTTGACAGGGCTTCAGGACTGATTTTCTGACAAATGACATAAAAAGGGGCAATCTTTGGCACATTTATAGGAATGATTAATAATTTCCAAGTAGAACAACAAACACAAAACAAAGAGATTTAAAAATGCGTATGCAGGGAGGGTCTTTTGAATGTAAATCTTGGAAGATATTGAGATCATCATTCAACAAAAACAACTCAGATAGCAGCATGTTGGGCTTAATTAACTATTTTTTTCATTACCAATTGAGGCATACATTTGTTTCTCTATTAATTTTTACAGTTTTTAATCTGTAACATGCAAGAAAACTGTGAATTTCCATTGCAATGTCTCAGGGTCCAAAGTGACAACTTCAAATTGAAAAATCTTTAAATATTTTCTCACATAAGATAAAAAAAAAAAAAAAAAAACATGCAGTTAATCATTACTTTTAAATAGTCAGAATCAGGGAGTGTTTGCCTGAAAAATTGAGATTATTGGGCTTTTTAAATAAATGACAATTAAATTTCCATCGAATAACTGATTATTTAACATTTTTTTCTGTTGTACATCAAAAGACACGGATGGTATCTTATATGCACATACGCTCACCTCTCCGTTTTCCAGCGGCACTATACGAGAATATTCAGTGGTGCAGATGACATCATTGTCGTGGTTGATTCTCTCGATGGTGCTCTGTCCAAAACGCTCAATGCAGTCTCTCTTAGACGCTACGCACACAAACACAAGTGAGAGAAAGGGGAAGAGAAAAGAAAAGCTTATAATCATTTACAACCACATACTTTAAAAACATGAGCGCATTCCCTCGCGTTAAACTTCAGGAGTGTGAACCATCTTGTGGCATCTTAATGACGCATCTCAGTGTGATAATTAGAGGAGGGTTTGATGAAGGTCTTTGCTGCACAATCCTCTTTAAACACACCTCAGCTGGAGCTTCACAGCAGCTGGAATGCATAAACAGCAGTGTCCACCTACTACAAGAGCTCCCCAATAACTCTCTTCAAGCCTAACCTGCTACAAAACATAACTCTCATTCTGAACATTTAACTTTTTAGGCCATAAAAACGCTGATTATAAATGATAAAACTCAAAGATATTCAACTGAAAATACAAAAAAAAAAAAAATTATTTACATGAAGTTTATTGTAATGGGTAAGAAACACAATAGTGAAGACATCATATAGACAGCAGAATCAATACCGATATGGATAAGAGGATACTTGATTTCACTTCTCTTTTTCTGTTGCTTTGAGTTTTCACAACTTCACTGGCACCCACACATCGCTGGCAAGCAACAGTATTTTTGTATATTATTTAGATAATAATGGATATTCACAGTGTCTTGACTTGTAATAGCAATTTTTCTGACAAGTATTGCAATTCAATTGGCAATATACTATCTCTTAATATCAAGCGTCTGTTGCACATTCACTGTGTAGTAGATTTCAAATATAAGGGGTTTCAGAAACGGTGCAGGCTTCTGTAGTTTTTAACATTTTGCCATTGTGGTGAGGTTACATTTTTGGGGGGACAGTGAGTGATTGTCTGTGCAGAAAGCAGGCCATGCATTACACTGTGGCTCCTGCCTTCACTTGCACATTTTTGCCAAAAGTATGAAAAATGTGTTTTTAAAAAAACAACTAATTTACATTATAAGTAAGTACATTATATAATGTGACACTTTTTGGTTCACCAATGAAGAGTTGCATAAACTTAGTAAACAAGATCAAGTTGGAATAATGTTATAATTGCACTGCTGTTGTGTGCTTTGGTGTCTGAGACAAACTCACACACGGACAAAATTGTTGGTACCCCTCGGTTAATGAAAGAAAAACTCACAACGCTCACAGTAATAACTTGAAACTGACAAAAGTAATAATAAATAAAAATTCTATGAAAATTAAGCAATGAAAATCAGACATTGCTTTTGACCCGTGGTGTAACAGAATTATTTTTAAAAATAAACTCATGAAACAGGCCTGGACAAAAATGATGGTACCCTTAGCTTAATATTTTGTTGCACAACCTTTTGAAGCAATCACTGCAATCAAACGATTTCTTTAACTGTCAGTGAGACTTGTGTACCTCTCAGCAGGTATTTTGGTTCACTCCTCATCAGCAGACTGCTCTAGTTGTCTCAGGGTTAAAAGGTGCCTTCTATAGACGGCATGTTTCAGCTCTTTCCACAGATGTTCAATAGGATTTAGATCAGGGCTCATAGAAGGTCACTTTAGAATAGTCCAATGTTTTCCTCTTAGCCCTTCTTGGGTGTTTCTAGCTGTGTATTTTGGGTCATTATCCTGTTGCAAGACCCATGACCTGCGACTGAGACCAAGCTTTCTGACACTGGGCAGCACATTTCTCTATAGAATACCTTGATAGTCCTGAGATTTCATTGTACCCTGCACAGATTCAAGACACCATGTGCCAGATGCAGCAAAGCAGCCCCAGAACATAACAGAGCCTCCTCCATGTTTCACAGTAGGGACAGTGTTCTTTTCTTGATATGCTTCATTTTTGCATCTGTGAACATAGAACTGATGTGCTTTGACAAAAAGTTCCAGTTTTGTCTTGTCTGTCCATATGGCATTCTCCCAGAAGCGTTGTGGCTTGTCAACATGCAGTTTGGCAAATTCCATTCTGGCTTTTTTATGATTTGTTATCAACAATGGTGTCCTCCTTGGTCGTCTACCATGAAGTCCACTTTGACTCAAACAACGACGGATGCTGCGATCTGACACGGATGTACCTTGACCTTGGAGTTCACCTTTAATGTCTTTAGAGGTTGTTCTGGGCTCTTTTGTTGCCATTCATATTATTCATCTTTTCGATTTGTCATCAATTTTCCTCCTGCAGCCACGTCCAGGGAGGTTGGCTACAGTCCCATGGATCTTAAATTTCTGAATAATAGTGTAACTGTAGTCACAGGAACATCAAGCTGCTTGGAGATGGTCTTATAGCCTTTACCTTTAACATGCTTGTCTATAATTTTCTTTCTAATCTCCTGAGACAACTCTCTCCTTCGCTTCCTCTGGTCCATGTTCAATGTGCTACACACCATGTCACCAAACAGCACAGTGACTACTTGTAACCCTATAAATAGGCCGACTGATTGATTACAAGTTTGTAGACACCTGTGATGCTAATTAGAGGACACACCTTGATTGATCATGTCCCTATGGTCACATTATTTTCAGTATTTTCTAGGGGTACCATCATTTTTGTCCAGGCCCATTTCATGAGTTTACTTTTTTAAATAATTCTGTTAAACCACGGTTCAAAAGCAATGTCTGATTGCTTAATTTTCATAGAAATTTTATTTATTATTACTTTTGAAGGATTCAAGCTATTTCTGTAACCATTGTGGATTTTTCTTTCATTAACTGAGGGGTACCAACAATTTTGTCCATGTGTGTATTCAATTGATGTATTCAAGTTTGGAATACACTAACTACTCAGGTGTGTTTTATACAGTCCTTAAAACTTGACAGTGTTTGGCATTTTTTTCTTGAATGTAGATCGTAACCCTAAAAGATCTAAATTAAGTAAACGATTCAGCCACTTTAATTGAATATTATCATCCTGTGTCTTAAAATATTTGGTAGGATCTCAATGAAATTATCTAAATCCATCCATTTTCTGGTTCCTTCTAAGGGATCCCAATGGGACCCCAGGCCAGATGAAATGTAATCCCTTCAGAGAGTTCTGGGTCTATCCAGTTGGACGATCCCAGGAAGTCCCATAAGGAAGGGGCTCAGAAGCCATCTTAATCAGATGAACCACCTCAACTCGCTCCTTTCCTCGTCAAGGAGCAACATCTCTAGTCTGAGCTCACTCTGGATGTCTAAGCTGCTCACAAGATCTGAGTCCAGCCACTCTACAGAGGAAACTGATTTCAGCAGCATGCATCCGCAACATCATTCTTTCAGGAGTACCCAGAGCTCAAGGCCTCCAGTGAGGGTTGGAGCGTAGATCAACTGGTAAACTGAAAAATTAGCCTTCCAGCTCAGCTCCCTCTTCACCACAACAGTCCAGAATGACGGCTGCATTACTGCTGACGCTGCACCAGTCCAGCTGTCCATCTCACACCCCATTTTACCTGTTACTTTAGGACAAACTCCTTTCCCCGGTGCAGCAACTAACCCTTAACCAAACGGAAGCAATCCCACGTCCCAGCAGAGCAGCACCTTGGATGTTCTGGCTCTCATCCATGATAAAAAAAAATAAAGAATGTTTTCCATGTTCTCATCTTGCTTTTGCCTCCTTCTCTCTGTGCTATGAAGAACTTTGCATCAACTATGATGCACTTCATAAATACAGTTGAGATTAGAGCGATGCTATTTCCTCACTGATGTTACCAGTACATGACTAGTTACTACATATGACAGGATGAATTAAAAATAAAAATACAGTTTTGACATCCGGGAGCAGCAATCAGCAGTCAGAAATCATTTAAATTAATCTCATCTTATGAATTCTGACTGATTGATCTAGCCACCATCTGCCTTTTAAAAGTCTTTAAAACTGTGAAAGCAAGTTGGCCAGTCTGAGACATGACTTCAGTGGGTTAAGTCACATTGTTTCTTCATGAAGGCCTCGGTGTACATTCCTAGACTCAGTTAATCTCAGAGTTGTCCTTGGCACAGAAGAAAAAAAAAAGAAGCCATGAAAACAACACAACTCAGATGGGAGAAAAAGGTGATTTTACAGTGTTCAGATGTCAAATTCAACCTCATTCGAGAGTGAGTCCGTAGCAGCTGCAACTCAAATAGCTCTGACATTTACAGCTTTAAGGCCAATGCTAACTTACTCTGTGCTATTTAACATGCTCACGGATCTGTGGTCATTGACCGTAAGAAAACAAGCAGGACTTGATTACCCTCAGCTGTTGTCAATGCTACAGTCACAATGTAATTTAATGACTGATAAAGTGTTACTGTTCTCATTAAGCTAAAAGACCAATTCCAGTGAAAAGGTTTTTACCTTGTTAACACATCTATATGGTGATATATATAAATGCCTAAAAACACAGCATGAAGCAGTTGGATAGTCTAAAAGAGACAGGGGTTTCTTTCGCAACACGATCAGCTTCTGGTTCAAACGTGTGCTGCATTACTCCAACATAACAACTTGCCTTTGTGTAGCATAGCAGGGATACTAGAGGACTACAAAAGGATTGTTAAGGCTTTTGATGACTGTAGATGAGTTTTTAGCAGTTTTATCAATGTTTGGAGGGAGAGCGGGGGACATTTTCGGGGGAAAAAAAAGATATTGGAGCTGATCCAAGGTAGCCAATCAAGTTGTGCTCCACTTTGTTCTGGCAGAGGACCGACAGAGAGCAAGCATTGGCCTGGTATTTGCCTGATGTACATGGATTTTCGAAGTCTGAAAATCTACTCAAGCAATTCACGTTCTTAACTGAACATGATAATCCAGGAATGCCAAATCTAGGCCACATCTGGGCTGAGAAACTGGATTTAAGTTCACACAGCATCTGATGATATACTCCAAATGATAAATTTCAACGAGCTTCAGAAGATTTATTCTGTCTGAAATTTTTCCAAAGCGCTGACACTGAAAATATGAGGTTGCAGGTTTCAGGCTGCAAATCCCTCCTTTATTTAGAGGTATATTTCTGCTACTGTTTGATTTATACTTCTCGCATGAAGAGAATTTTATAATGATCTATGATACCTTACAGACTCCTTCATCTGCTTCAGAAGGCATTAAACAAGCAGAGTCCCTGTGAGTAAATTGGTATACACGCTTGCAGTTGTATATATTTACCAGGAGTCTGAGAGAAAGCTGAAGCGCTTTGTTAGCATTAAAGTCAGCCCAATTTACATCAAAGAATTTGAAATTAAAGACGTCCATCAAAGTGTCAAGATTTAACTTATCTACCACTGCCAACTCTGGCACCTGAAGCAGTTTTCAATAATGCAAATTAATGGCAGGTCATTATGCATGAACACCATACACAGACATACACATTGACCCAAACCACGTCTGCTTCTGCCGCTTATAATCAGGTAAACCTCAAGCTGCGACCTGTTGGCAAACATCCCTGGAATTCCCCTCCAGCCCACCTGAACTGACAGCTGCCAGAGCCAATCAGCTGGCAGCTCTGTGATGTAATGGAGCCCCCCCCTTAGGGCTGCTGTTTCACACTGAGATTAGAGAAAGAATTAAACCCAACCCTGAGTGAGGTTAGGAAAGCATGAAGTGATACTCATAGAATCTGACTTGTTTGATTTTCCATTTTTTCACGTTTTGGATCCAATCTTATCATGTAGGTGAATGTGCACTTGTACTCACAAGCAAAGTACTGCCATGGTTGGTAAGTCAGTCCAAAGTCGATGGATCTCTCCAGAACCCACAGGTCTGGACGGGGAGAGTTGGCAAATTTAATCAACACATAGGCCACATGGAAGAGCTGCAAGAACACAGAGGAGAAGAAATTCACATGAAATACATTGTCACCTTTGTGTGGACCACTGGCTGTGAGGTCTGGATTCATGGACTGAAACAAGTGTAATTGGGATAATAAATAGCAGTTCATTTTGAAAGCAGAAAAAATCAGCAGTGTTATAAATTAATAATGGTTAAACAATAACAAAAATCGAGCACAGTGGACATTTGTCCTGTGCTGATATTGATGTTTTAGCCGACAGACACAAAAGTTATGCCACAAAGACAATACCATTACATGTGCTAAAAAGCTGTCCAAGTCTCACATGAGCTCTGGTTGGAAGTCATGAAGCACCACAGGAATCTTTGTCATGGTGGCCTGTTGCTAGCTAAACCCCCACAATGCTCTCTCCTTACCGACATTCACTGCCCATAATCTGAGTGAACACCCTCCCCAGTCACTACAGTATTAAACAGTAGAGGTACTAGAGCTAACTTATTGTACATTTTCTGACATTCATGTAGAGAATACAGTTTTTTTTAATATAATTTTATTGTCTACTGGAGCCACAGTGTATCCTATCACCTCCACACTACAATTCAGACAGTGTCCTACTAGAGCTTTAAAACAAGGTTCATGGTTATCTGCATAACATTAAGGCACAACTTGGATGCTGAAATGCATTTTTTTTTTTTTTTTAGCCTTAATTGATTGCAGAGCTATTCAGTTATCAAGCATATGCAACATAATTGTTTTTGTCAGTTTAATGTACTGTAAGTGTGTATTATCTAAAAAAATAAATTTTAAAAAACGGTATTGGATTGGGACTCAGTACCAGCAGATACGAAATATATAATAGCTTTGGTCAGGTCAGGGGCAAAAAAAAAAGACTTGACTGGAACATCCCTAATATAAAGAATAGTCAGGAAAAGAAAAAAAGAGAGGACGAGAAAACAATGGAAAGGAAAGCAAAGAAAAGGAAAGGAAGGTTAAAAAAAGGAATGTAAAAGGTTCAAAAGAAGAGAAAAGAAAGAAAATGATTAGAAAGGAAACAATAGTGAAGGAGATTATTAGAAAAGAAGGGGAATTGAAGACAAAAATTGTAGTGACAAACATAAAGGGAAATATACAGTAAAAGAAGAGGAAAGGCAAGTGGAGAAAGGAAAAGAAAGGTTTTGAACACACGGGAAAATAGGATACAAATAAATATTAACTAAAAGGGGAACAGAGAGGGGTTAAAGAAAACAAGACAAGCTTATCAAAAACAACTGACAGCTGAGGTGAAAAAGAAAAGGCCAGCTGGCAGCCTCTACTAAAACCATTTGACCATTGTGGTGACCTGAACAGTTGACCTGTCAAACTTCTCCCTTCTGCAGAGACATCATTTCAAAACTAACTACAGTACCTGTGATTTGTCGCATCCTGTTACATGTTATGTTACTGTCAAAAAGCTGATTCCTGAATCTCCTAATGATCACCAGATGCTCCTTCGTCACACACCGAGTCATGCTCTCTGGTTTCATCACGGCTCTCCAGCCACCTGCAGCCTTTTCTGTTTCACTTGTCATCCCTCATTCATTTCCTGAAAGGCCCTGAAGCTGTTAGACAGCGATGACAAACTGCTCCCATGGGCAGACAAGGAAAGGCAGAGTTGCTCAGCTGTACCGTTTTGTCTATCAGACCTTGAAATCACTCCCCAGTTGAAACAGAACACACTGAAATAACACAATGACGTCCATAATAATAGTACAACTAATCACAGTCACCTCCTGTGTGTGTCTGCATTGGAAAAAGAAAGACCCTGCTGACAGTTCAAGTATGTGTTGACTGAAACTATGTATAAATCTGCAATAAAACTGTCAGAAATTGTAATTATTCACACACTTTTGGGTTGGGTCCTGCGTTTTCCAGTCTTACTGCAAAATGTGATGCCAAACTTTTTTTGGTCCCACGATACCTAATGATAACTATTAATTATGTGCATGTTTCATTAGAGGGAAAGTGAAAAGAAAGGAATAAATTAGGATTCAAATTCAACAGGCAAAACTGTTTTCCTAACTTTAAAAGGCTTTTGCGCATCTGTAAGTTTAGGAATCCTTGATGTCACTGGTCATAAAATGACATTCTTAACGGCAACTTCCTTCCTACAACCAACTTTAACCAAAGCAAGCACTGATTCTCTATTTCAATAAACAACTAAACAGATCAGTTCGTCTACATTATCTCAACTTAATAGAATTGGCTTGATAACATTATTTCACTTCACTTTGAGTTCAGGATTTCAAGTACCCTCTTCTGTCTTAGTATGCCTGGACAATTAGTCGATTCGGTTGCAGATATTTCATTCGAAGTTGTCAAAACTCAAAAATATTGATGTAGACTGTTAATTTTTTTGCTGAGCCAAACATAATTTTTTTACAGCGTGGTTTGTCAAATGCACTTTGCCAAAAATACCAAGATGTCCTGCTACCTCTCTTTGGATTTTGTAGTTTGCTGGAAAAAGCAAAAGCATGCAATTTGGAATCCCCCCTTAGTTCCGTCCGTTGCCAACGTTTCTTGGTAGATTCCTAGCAAATCCAAAAATGAGGTGGACCGTAAGTGGAGCAGAGGCCGGCCATAGATTGTAACACAACAGCACCTTTACTATGCATTACTTTAAGCAACAGTACAATTTAAATTAGTGAGCTTAATAAGAAATCTGGCCTCCACTTGTCATGAATGGTGAAATTATCTATTATTCAAGTGACCGTTTATGGAGCTGCAGTTTTTGGCACTTTAACGCCAGCTTCATTCTTCAGCCCTGAAGGTTGCCCCTTGGTTTGGAGACATAACATTATTGCACGTTTAGCATAAAAACACGAAGAAAGGGAGATTTTGCAACAAGGCTTTTGGAGCATCAGGGATGTGTGCAAAATTATCATCTATTCTCTGAGCAGGCTTTTTCCTTGCCCTGAGAGAGCAAATTGCAATCGTTAACATAAATTATGGGCCAATTTATTCACTTTCTTCTGTCATTAATACTGGAGGTTCTGTGCCTCACTTCTTCCTTGGCTCAGAATGTTTTTGTGCTGCCTTAAAATACATTTTAATACACTGTGTACACCTGTAGTCCTCACACAACAGTTTAAAGACACATTTTTAGACTTAAAACTAGATTTTGACAACAGCGGTCCGTGTACAGCCCAAAGTTTGTGCTTGTGCTAAAACAAGCTCAACATCTCACTGGTCTTTGTTTCACACACACACACACACACACACAGACACACACACACACACACACACTCTTTGATCATCCATCAGCGTAGTTTGGCCTGTGATCTCTCGACTTCCTCTGTTTGACAGGCAGCTCTGTCAGAGGTGATGACAACACACCCAGGACACAAACACACACACAAAGACCTGCCAAAAAAAAAAAACAGCACTACTCCATCACTGTGGAATGGCAGAAGTGTGCATTTTGTGTCATCTTTTCTTTCTGACAGAGGAGACTCAAGTTCATCCATCTGCATCTGTCTTTTTGCATGTTTTGCTGTAGAAAGCCTCAGAGTTCAAGAATGAAGTCTGCTTAAACCTGGTAAATTTGCTTTTTTTTTTTTTTTTTTCTTTTCAAACATCAAATTCAACAGCTAAAATAAATTTGTGGGAAACATGAAGGGAAAGTTTGGATTTTTCCTTCAACATTCACATTTTTGTTACTTTTTCAAACTACAAAACATATGAAAATCTGTTTGTCAAACACTGACCAATCATATGCTGCCGTGTGGTCAAAGAAAAATGGAAGAGAAGCATTTTTCCCTTTAATTTTGTCTTCAGGATATTTTGAAATAAAAAGAATTTCGTTTCAGTTGTCTTCATCTAAACCATGTTAAATGACATAAAGGCTTCACTAGAAACATGGTGTGTGTAAGCTGGATGTGTGTGTGAGACATCTAAGGCCTCTTCACGTCCCTCCGGGGGGAATAAGATATTGAAAGGAAAATCCAGAAGCATTCCTCTGATTCCAGGGTTAAAGTCTGACCTGCTGCTCACAGAAAAACCTGAAGTTTACAGCAGATCCTTTTAAACCGAAGACATTTCTGACTGAAAGCACACGACTGAACATGCAGAGAAATCAGGCACCCTGGACTACATTTCTGCCCTGAGTTGTGGCACAAACGGGAAATCTCCTGGATTTTCCGTTTCATTACTTGTGACACAAAACAGACAGCAACGCCACACCAACAGAAGAAGAATTTAACTTTTGCAAGAAAAACAATAAATGGAGGACACCATTTGCTTTCCAGCGTAAAAGAAAAATATAAGTACTTTGCCTGTATTTACATTGTCTAACCAGCATTTGCCTGCATCAGTTGTTTTCATCACCTATGTACATGTAGTTTTAAAAGAGCAAATTTGTATTATTTTCCTTGCATCCACAGGAACTTTAGTCAGATCACTACTCCGTTAAACAAGACTGACATATGAACCTGAACAGAAAACTGGGTGAATAGGTGTTCAAAGACCTTATTTTCAGTGACGTCATGGGAATGTTTCTCATCATCAGTATTTTTACACTAATTGGGTCATTTTAAAGCATCAGCACAGATTTCTTTGCTTTCTCCAAACACAGATGGAAAAGTGTGGCCCAAATTATTAGAAGCCCCGTTGCAATGGCGTTTGAGGTCCAAATTAGTATTTGAATGCTTTGTTTTATATGCGTCACCACAAAAATCTCAAACAGCTCATAAATATAAGAAATGTAACTATCCCAGCTGACTTAGGGCAAAGCAGGGGACATCCTGGACAAGGAGAACATGCAAACTCCACGCAGAAAGATCCCGGGTGTCCTCACCGGGATGCGAACCGGCGACCTTCTTGCTGCGAGGCAATGGTGCTAACCATCGTAGTTCCTTGCAGCCCCAAATGAATCATGAATACAAAAATACTAACTAAAGCCCTCCTGGAAAATGCAGTTGATTTTTAGAATCACAAACTCTACTAACTCCAGTAGTTTAAGACAGAGGTGACCAAAAGTCTTTTTTGGT